GTGTAAACACTAAACTTAAGCAGAGTTCAGTAACATTTACTCTTCTGGAAAAATGCTTCAGTTAGGTAAAACTTATTTACGAGTGCTGGAAATTATGTGACCGAGACCTGCCGGTACAGCAAAGTGAAAATCTGGTGCTAGTGGTGGAGCGTATTTAGAGATCGACGTTGTATAAGACGACTCCTAGTTTTAAGAAAACAAATTGAAGCTTCAAAGGTCAACTTACAGGCCACTGTACTGTACATCTACATGAGTAAAGTTGGACTCACAAACAAACCTCCAGAACATAACTCATTCATCAGTAGAGCTCCTCCTATAGTGGCTTATATTCATTGTGTACAGTACATCATTTGGGGGAAGTAGTTTCATCGCAGAAAAGTATCTTGGATTTTATAATGGGAGTCTATGGAAAAATTGATGTGATTTACTAAAGGTTTCTCAGGAACAAAACTTTTATAAACTGAGGGATGTCTGTAGAACCTTTCTAATATTAAAAGTACCAGAAAATATTAAGTAAAATACCAGATAGTAATTACGGTCTAGTTCACTGCAGGTCCAGCTCAATGCAGGTCCAGCTCAATTCAGGTCCATTTTAGCCAGTGGGGGAGAAAGTATATGAAAATATTACTTAAGATAAAGTACTGCACTGTTACTATGTAAAAATTAAAACTTGTATTAGTACACGGAGTCCCCGACTTATGAACACCCTCCGATATGAACGGTGTTAAACTTGAAATTTACAATATTTCATCAGATAACATTTTTTACTTTCATTTACTGTATTGTCAATTAATTTCTTTTTTTTGTCTTAAATTAAATGATTTTAGATGTATATAAGGACTTTGGCTATGATATAGTGAGATTTTAAACATTGTTCTGTAAGTACGGTATGCTCCTAGCATGCATTCCGACTTACAAATCCGACTCAGAATGTCATCAGGAATGGAACCCGTTCGTAACCTGGGGACCCCCTGTAATCTTCTTCAAAACTACTTTAGTAATACAGGCTGTAGTTTAATTAACTGAAGTGAAACATAAAAGTAGAAGGGTAAAATAACAGTAGTATTTGTAAATTATCATAATTGATAATGTAATACTGCTTTGAAAATGAAGCTTAAAGTTATTAATAAACTTAAAAGATAAATAATATATATGAGACTGAGAAACACTAATGTAGCTACAATACACATTAGGTTAATTTAGAGTTGAGTTTCAGTGATAACTAATCTTCATATTTCTTGTGGCACACCTGGGTTGGAATATCAGTTCAGCTTAGGTGTTAATGATTTTATGCTTTTACTTTATGTACACAAAAAAAACACACACACACACACCAAGTTAAAGATTTAATTATGACTGTAGTGTAGAGGATCATGAAACAGTAGATAAGTTTGATACAGAACAAGATAAATTAGAGCAACAAATAACATGACATCAACACCCACAGTGATAATGTGGCAGCTGGGGCTAACACAACATGTCATGAGAGAACAATTACAAATAAACAAAGAACCTGGGGAGAAGAGACAGTGAGAAATGTGGTGGACTTTGTACAAGAGTTGATCATCACTAATGTAGCTTTAAGTATTATTGTACTAGTAACCCAGGGAGAAACTGGTGTTGGTACAGGAATGACACAAGTCTAGTTAATAAGACTGAACTATTGAGTGCTGCACAGGTGGACACACAACAGCCAGACATCAGAGTCCTGGGGTTAAGAAGATGTGTTCCACAGTGAATTTTGTCTACCAGGTATCAACCACCACTCAGAACGGACAGGGCTACAAGAGGTGGTGGTGTACTACTGTACTGTATGTTACGGAGCACCTGACAGTAACCAGTAATGATGAGCTAAATGAAATTATATTGTCTGAATCTATTTGATGTGAACTCATAGCATAAAACAAAAGCAAGGTGAGAGTAGGTGTGTGTTATAAGGATGACTCAGCCTCACAGGGAGAAGTGGCAGACTCCATAGAGTCATCCAGAAGACAAGTTCTCATTACGAGACAGTAGATTGGGTGACTTTTACCACACAAGCTGGAGGAGAATTCCTTGACCTCCTCCTAATTCCTCACACAACACATGACAGGACCCACCAGAGAAAAAAAAAAAAACATTCAGTATATACCATACTGTACTCTTGACAACTGAGGTTGAGTCACAAGGTCCACGTTGGGGAAAAACTAACTCTGGCCCACAACCACTACACACACCTGACCCTTTCTTTATGTCCACTCACTATATGCATTGTGTCTGTAAACTCTGAGGGATGCCTTCTTCCAACACCTGACTGATCAATGCATCACACAATTTCATGGAGAGAATATCCTGTTTAACACATTTACTCATTTTCCTTGAAATGGTAACAGACTACATGGATCAAGGCTTACCAGTGCATGTGTTGTACAGTTGAGGTCATAATTTTGCTCCCATGGTGAAACAGAGTCTCTGAACTGACTTACCCTGACTATCGTCTGATGTGGGTGTGCTATTTTATCTCATTTGGGATCGAGCAAACTTTTGACCGCTAGTGTACGTGAATTTTTCTAGGGCACTTGACAAAGTCCCACATT